ACGACACATAACAACAACTGCTGACATAATATGTTGTTCAATAAGGCTATTTAAGGAAATTAATAAACCTTTAGTGAAAATTCTGGTGAACTAGTAACTGTAAACATAAATCTTTGACCAGGAAATACAATTATCATAACAAATTAGAGATTTAGAATTCATATTATTAATTAATTCCTGAAATAACCCTAACAAAATATGTATTATATTTACAACAATTTCATAGATGAATAAACTCCGCTAATACGGACAAAACAAACTGTCATAAATTCATTCTCTGACCACGGGTACAGTTCTTTTTCTACAACATAATGCTTATCTATACACCTATATAAAGCCTAAGGCTGGCAGTTCAAACCCACCAGCCACTCCTTGGAAGGAAGGTTGGCAATCTACTTCTGTACGATACCACCTCAGAAACCCAAGGAGGGGTCACTATGAGTCAATCTGACTCAACGGCAGTAGTTTATAAAGCCTATATAAACATAACATACAGCGATTCGACTCACAGCGACCCCTCCTTGGGTTTCTGAGGTGGTATCACTACAGCAGATTGCCCAATCTTCCTCCAGAGGAATGGCTAGTTTGTTTGAACCACTAGCCTTCTGGTTACCAGTCAAATACCTTAGGCACTACACCACCAGAGCTCCTTAATGTATGTCGTTGTTGTTGTTATGTGCTGTTGAGTCAGACCCAACTCACAGCGACCCCTTCTTGGGTTTCCGAGGCAGTATGACTACGGAAGAAGATTTGCCCAACCTTCCTTCCGAGGAGTGGCTGGTGGGTTTGAACCGCCAGCCTTCTGGTTAGCAGTCAGGTGCCTTAGGCACTATGCTACCATACTAATTTTTTACCTTTCATTTTCAATGAACAATTGTGACATTTTACAATATTAAATAATAAGGGATGTAACCTACAGTAAAAATTTTAAATATTAGTAGCATAGTGGCTAAGACACTTGCCTGCTAAACAGACGGCTGGCGGTTCAAACCCACCAGCCACTCCTCGGAAGCAAGGTTGGGCAATCCTACTTCCGTAGTGATACTGCCTCGGAAACCCAAGGAGGGGTCGCTATGAGTCAGGTTTGACTTGACAGCACATCACAACAACAACAACAAATGCAAGCAATTTGTGTGAGAGATTATAGAAGACGACACAGGGTAAGGGAGAAGAAGGGGACTCCTGAGAAGCACAGAGCAGATACTATAGAACCACGCTCTCCAACACGGTAGCCACCAGCTGCATACCATTATTTAAATTATTTACAATTACATAAAATTTAAAATGTTAGTTCTTCTGTTACACTATCCACATTCCAGTTGCTCTAGAGCCACATGTGAATAGTGGCTACTGTACTACCCAGTGCAGAATATGAACCTTTCCACCATTCCAGACACTTCTACTGGACAGTGCTACTCTAGAAATTGATAATCTAGTTATAAAACAATCTACTCCAAGTCCTAATTTCACATTTTTTGATGCCATTACTAGGTGATTTTTTAAAAAAATTAGCCACAAAGTTTCCTTAATGAAATATTTATAAAAGTACAAGTTCTGAAAAAATATACTTTGTCAAAATATAGCATAGGACAGAAAATTTTAAGTGAAACTAATCTCAACTCTGTCATACTGTGTTAACTTGATATATTAAAATACATTTTAATTTTTTCTAACAGCTATGTGTTTTTAAATAATCTACCAGTTAATCAAGTTTTAAACAATAAAACATGGTAATATGCTGACAGGACTGCTAATAAAATCAATTTTACGAGCAAAACAAATTACTTTCTCAAGTTAAATGTAATTACAAGAGGTATTCCCTCTGGCATATAATAATTAAATATTTTAATTAAATATTACAGTGATTTTAGAAGAGTCTTTTGAGTAACCATATGTATAAAAATAGATACAGCAAGACACTCTTCCAAATGTTATCAAAATATTTTGAAGTTAGTTCTAGAACAACTATCTTGTAGATTAAAATTAATAAAATTTATAATGACTTAATTATATTCCTCAAATAAAGTGATAAGATCATACAGTAATTTCAGTTTCAATTATAATTTTAAAGGTTAATTTACTAATTTATTTCCTTTCAACAAAAATATATCAAGTAAAGTTTGAGTACAAATAGATATACATTTTTTAATGTGCAAAGGGTTCATCTTTATTGTCTGTACCTCCCATGCACCTCTTTATGTCTTCCTCTTCCTCAGTGCCACTGTGTTGATCACTCACATTTGGTACACTGCCCTTCTCTTCACCTAAATCAATACTTGTCTCTACCTATCTAACAGTGTTCCCTCCCCTCCTCTCCTACCCCTGGTAACCAACAAAGAAAATTTCGTTCCATATAGAACATTCCTTGACTTGTTAGGACTAAAACCATATTTATCCTTCTGTGATTGGCTCATTTCACTCAGCATAATGTCCTCCAAGTTCATCCACGTTATGTGGTATTTTGCAGATTCTACATTATTCTTTAGGGTTGCACAGTATTGCATTCGGAAAGGAGATGGGGCAATCTACTTCCATAGTGATACTGCCTTGGAAACCCAAGGACGGGTCGCTATGAGTCAGATCTGACTTGACAGCACATAACAACAGCAACAACAACAGTATTCCATTGTGTGTATGTACCATAGTTTGGTTATCCATTCTTCAGCTGATGGACACCTAGGATGTTTTCATCTTATGGCTATTATAAATAGTGCTGCGATGAACATGGGTATGCATATATCTGTTCTTGTCATGGTTCTCACTTCTTTAGGATATATACCTAGTAATGGAATGGCTGGATCAAATGGTATATCTAATTCCAACTTTTGAAGGATTCGCCATACTGCTATCCACAGTGGTTGTGTCATTTGACAGTTCCACCAGCAGTGTACGAGAGTCCCAATCTCTCTGCATCCCCACATCATTGCCAGCATTTGTTATTTTCTGTCTTGAACTTTGCTACTAGTGCTGGGGCAATGTATTCTGTTATTAGTACACCAATAAGCAAACTTCAAAATAGAAAAAAATCTTTTACATTTCATAAGAAAAAACCCAAACAAAACAAAACTTTCTCAAAATTCTATACCATGGCATTTCAAGAATATATCTATATTCTAGAACAAAGGTCAGCAATTTTTTCCCGTAATAAGCAGTAGTTCTGGTGGCATGATGCCTAAGGCATCTGACCGCTAACCAGAAAGTTGGGAGTTCAAACCAACCAGCCGCAAAAGGAAGATGGGGCAATCTACTTTCATAAAGATCTACTGCCTCAGAAACCCAAAGGAGATTGCTATGAGTTAGAATTGACTTAATGGCAGTGAGTGTTTTAAATTTTTTTATTATCAGCTTTACAGCCCTTGTGGTCTCTGTTACAACTACTCAACTCTGCTGCTGTAATGCAAAACCAGCCATCCAAGTCAAAAACCAAATTCACTGCCATCAAGTCAATTCCTATTCACAGAGACTTCCACTGGGCTTGTGAGGCGGTAAATCTTTACAAAAGTGGACTGTCCCATCTTCCTTCTGCTGGAGCAGTTAGTAGTTAAATGCCTTAGGCACTACGCCACCAGAGCGCCTTCAAAACAGCTGCAGACAATACAAAAATGAATTAAGTGTGCATATGTGCCAATAAAACCTTATTTATAAAAATAGGAGGTGGGCCGAGGCCACAACTTGCTGGCTATATTTAAAACCTTAAAACAGCATTTAAACCTAAAAGTAAATTTGCTCACATAGTAAGATCCTTATAGAGGAATTAGAAGCCAAATAGCCTACTGGAGCTGAGTCACTCAATTCAGCATATGAGCAGTGTCTACTACATAAAATATGCAATAATGAAAAAACAACCAAACTCTGAGGCATTTGTTCAGGTTCCAAAGACCTAAAATCTAGATGGGCAGGGAGATATATCTCTATCTCTATCTCTATCTCTATCTCTATCTCTATCTATATATATGAACTTGAAAAAAGATACTGTATTTAATTTGGTCTGTATTTTCCTTGGGATTAGGGTTCCATAATACTTTGAATAGGGCTGTATACTGAGTTGTAAGACTGAACCATACGGGGCTAAGTGGCCAAACGTACTTTATGGATAACTGACTATCTGACATTTCAGAATGCTTACAGAGGTGTGGCCAGCACACAGAGTATGATGAACACATTTGTGTTGAATAAATGAATGAATGAAAAAAATAATACGGATTCTTTTATATCCAAATAGAGCAATGAAACAATATATGCTGTGATCTTCATAGTTTCTACCACAAAAGAATGCTTTAGTGCATAAAGAAATGGTAATTAAAGAGCAAATTACTGTATTTAAGTCACAAAGCAATTTATAGGCAACTACTCAGAAACACAACAGAACTCCTAAGCTTTGAGTTATTTAACAATTCTAGAGAATCTGTATTTTTAAAATGCACATTGGATGTATTTAGCACTAAGCTATTATTTCAATCCACTATACCAAATTTTCAACTGTCTTAATTAAACACTTTTATAACAATTTTATATATTATATAATCAATTAAAAAGTATTAACATACTGTTTGACTTTCAGGAAACTCCATTTTCAGCAGTTTGTGCGCACATTCTTCAAAATCTAAACTGTGGAGATAAATTGCCAAAATAGTTAGGATAAAAGCTTGCTGCATCAACTGTAGCACTCTTTTATATACAAAAACTTTACTGTAATAATTCTTTTGAGTAATATTTTTTACTATAATTTCATATTATCGTATCCTATATACAAAGAGGGAGCTCTGGTAGCTTAGTGGCTAAGGCACTTGACTGCTAACCAGAAGGCTGGTGGTTCAAACCCACCAGCCACTCCTCGGAAGGAAGGTTGGGCAATCCTACTTCTGTAGTGATACTGCCTCGGAAACCCAAGTAGGGGTCGCTATGAGTCAGGGCTGACTCGACGGCACATAACAACAACAACAACAACAACAACAATATACAAAGAAAATCACAGTTCTTAAATTCATTAACTTTTCCTAAAGCAACCTGACAAATTAATCAACACTATCCATTTACTTGTACCAAGTGATATACAGAGGCTCCTGAACATGCCTGGCTGGTAGGCTACTTTCTACTAAGCTATTGTACTTCTTTTTCCCTGCAACTGCACTGCGTGTCTATCAGGAAGTAATTGTGTGTGTTCCCAAGTCTGCTTGTGCTGGTTGCTCCAACAAGGGTTTAGTATCTAGAATACATTAAAAAAAATAAAACACAAAAAAATTTACAACTTTATAAAAAGTTTAAAAATGGGCAAAGGATATGAATAAACATTTCTCTAACCAATATATACAAATGGTCAGTGGTACACACAGTGATACATAATACCATTTGTCATTTGGAAAAGGCAAATCAAAACCCCAATGAGTTAATACATCACATTTACTAGCATAGCTGTAACTGATGTTTAACAATGAAGACTAATAGATATAAAAGCTTTAAAAATGTTAACTTTCTTTTTGGAAATATTTATATCCAGCTAAAATTTTTAAGACATTTATTTTTATTCATCATTCACAAATGCACATCTAACTCAGTAACAAATACTGGAGGTAAAAATACTTATAGGATAACACCCTACTTTAAGTCCACACATAATTAGGATTTCAGAAGTATTTAGAGACAATGTGATCCAATCCTCTCATTTTCACTGATGAAGATTACAAGACCCAGAGGCATTTGTGTGACCTGCTCCAGGCTACATAGTTCCAGAAGTAGGGCTTGAACACAGGAATACTTACTTCTACTTTCTCACCCAATTTCATAAGAAAAAACTAAAATTAACATTTAATTTGGACAATGGTTTCTTGAAATGTGCATGTGTTTAGGGAAACTAGGAAAAGTTCTAATTAAAACTAAAACCAAAATAGGAGTGGACATAAGTCAAGTTTCTTGGCCTTACATTAAAATCTCAGCTTGGAAGATTAAATGATATATTTTACCATACTGTAACTCCTACATACTGTAACTCCTTTATTTTTATTAGAGATGGCAAACTGTTTAAAATTTTATTACAGTGCTATTTCTACTTCCCATAATCCACGTCAAAGATGCTACAGGAGCCCAGCATGAAACCCAGTGTTCAATCACCACTTCTGCAAGTTACCTTGGCTCACACCTCAACACGGCTTCTACATGCTCTATGAACAAAGTAATATTAAAAAAACCAAAATAACTTGTAAGAAAAAATAAATTGCTTTTACTCAATGTTTCTGTGAATTGAATTAAAACTGTGTTCAACTTCATTTAAGAGAATCATCATACTCAATATTAACTGAACCAGGAGAAATGCTAATAAATATTTACACTTTTTGTACAATGCTCAAACTCCCATTCTTTTGATAACAGCAGTATAAAATCATTAGTCACTGAAATGTAATGACTCTGAATTTAGTTTTATAGCTCATCTGCATTCTACAGTTCTTTCTACTTATTGAGTTTCATAAGCACACCAGGGTATTAGTTCAGGATGGTATAAGGCAAAGAAATAACAACAGAAAATTAAAAAGAAAAACCTACCAAGAGCTTTTATGACAGGTAAAATTAAACAATACCTAGTCCCAGGACTAAATTATTAAAGTATACTTATCAAACTTCAATAACCTAACAATACCAAAAACAGTTTTATTTAAAAGGCTTGGTAGTGCAATGGTTAAGTGCTCAGCTGCTAACCAAAAGGCTGGGGGTTAGAACCACCAGTGGCTCCCAGGGGAAAAGGACCTGGGAATCTGCTCCTATAAAGATTACAGTCTAGGAAACCCTATGAGGCAATTCTGCTTGATCATATAGGGTCACTATGAGTATCTACTTCCATAGTGATACTGCCTCAGAAACCTAAGGAGGGGTCGCTGTGAGTCGGGGTTGACTCGAGGGCACACAACAACAACAACAACATGAGAAGGAACTGACTTGATGGTACACAACAACATACCACTACCACCAAAAGAGTAAAGACAGACTTCACTTTTTCTTTTCTAGCTCTCACTTTCTCTCTCTTTCAGTAGTCAGGAAAAATCCCGAAAAACCAGTCAGGTAGATAAAGAAATTTGTCAAGTTTTACAGTTTTCCTTTTTATTTAATAAGTGAAGTTTCATGGAGAAGGTTAGTTGTGTGACATTTATTTTCTTTGTTCCTGTGATATTTTAAAAGTATTTACTGATTCCCTAAGATGTTCTGGTGGCACAGTGTTTAAGCCATTTGGCTGCTATCCAAAAGCTTAGGGGTTTGAACCCACCAGCTGCTCTGTGGGAAAAAGATAAAGCAGTTTGCTTCTGTAAAGATTTACAGCCTTGGAAAGCCTATGGGGGTGGTTCTACTTTTTTCTATAGGGTCACTATAGGAATTGACTTTATGGCAGTGGGTTTTGATGATTTCCTATACTATGATCATTCTGAAATCACTAACTGCAATTAAGGAGTTCTGGTGGTGTAGTGGATAAGGCACTTGCCTGCTAACCAGAAGGTCAAGCAGTTCAAATACACCAGTTACTCTTTGAAAGAAAGATGGGACAATCTACCTCTGTAAAGATTTACAACCTTGGGAACCCATTGGAGGTTGCTATGAGTTGGAATTGACTCAATGGCAGTGGGTTTGAGTTTAATTGCAAATATTAAATGAATTATATTCGCCTACACTTCAATTCTTAGAGTGTCGAACCAAAATGAATTCTGGGTTTAACACCAATGGTGACTGAGGGAAGGGTAAAGAATAAAAGTACATTTGCTAAATTACTGTCATCTTTACTTCATACCAGTTTTCAAGCTGTGGTGGGTGGCAAATGGTTCTATAAAAATCTCCAATCTAAACAACTTTACATTGGTGGAAGCATGGTAGTCTCACCCATCTCTGATGATACAGCTTCAATAATGCAAAATAAGATGGCAACATCATTTAAAGGAAAGAATAAGCAGGAATGCATTGTTTTCAGCAGCAAAGCCAATTCTGTAGTTTCATATTGTGAAAAGAAAAATGGGTCATTTAAGGACCCTTAATAGTAAGAGAAAGATAACAGTACTAATGACATCAGTCAACAAGTCTAAAAGGAAAGGGAAA